CAAATCGCGTATTTCGTATTATTAGACCTTCTCCCATATAAGGGTTTATTTATTTATTTATTTTATTCAGTCAAAAAAAAAAATAAATAAATAAAAATAAATTAAGAGTCGAATTCAATTGATTAAAATTTATTATAGAAGAAACGAAAAGAGAAAAAAGGTGACGTAAAAATAAAAAACATAAAATTCGCGTATAAATAAACAAGAGGAAGAACTATAAAAAATGCCTGCGTACATCAGGCGCAGAGGCACACCCGCAGCTGGTACAGATCCGAGTTGTGAGCGAACCCCTAAGCCAATGCATATATACAAAAGCTTGCCAACCGATAACAATCGTAAACAAATTTAACTAATTTTCGAATCATACTCAGGGGTTAAGATTACAAGGCATAAAGGCCTTCTACGGCATAGGCACAAAGCCTTCCTATTCATAGAGTATAAAGAAGGCGATGTTGAGATTAAAGTGTAGACATTATTTAGATTATTGCAAAGAATCCTAAAGGGGTTGAAAAGCTCGTCGTAGTGTGCACATTAGCTGAGTTTTATGAAAACATATTTCGTAGCGAAATCATCAAGTAATGCCGACGAACCGATAGTAACATTCCTTAACTTAATCAGTAAGGAAACACTAAGGATGAATCTACGTTTCTCAAATGACCGTAGGGCTAACAAACGCTAGTCCTAAACCGAAATTTCTAAGGGCAAAGAGCACGAATTGCTTAAGTATTAGTTTGGCCAAACTCATTTATCTGTACATCAAATGTGTCTTTACATTACGTGCATAGTGCAAACTCTTTGAACCCGCAGCTTAAAACGTACTCTTTGATCAAATGAAATCCCTATATCCATGAACGAATGCACATTTTCCAATTTATTGCAATGAAATGTAGTGTGTGTGTAGTAGTGAGTGAATGAATTCTTGCTTGAGGAAGAAAGCGATACGAGTGCGATTTCATGGAAAAGGAGGGAAACAATTTAACATCCTCAGCGTACATTAAGACATAGTTTGGATTTAATTGCGGGATGGAAGTCATTGATATGTACGATGAATAAAATTGATCTTAAGTGGCTGGCTTGAAGGACATCTGACGTCAGGACCAATTCATCGCAGATGATGGATTTAAACAGAAGCCTGAATAGTCTGTTATGAGGATGAGAGCTTTTCAATAAGTATAAAGGTAAATCGGAGGCCTGAAATTTGAAGATGAATAATTTATGGGTAATCAGACAAAAAGGTTTATCGAAATCGGTCTTCTTTCTTTTGGAAAGCCATGCTCATATGGAAAACTAATTGTTGGTTAGCAATTTTTTGGCAAGGTGTCTGTCTTCATATTTGTGAAGTGAAATAAGAAAGCTGCTATTCCACCATAAAGAGAAGACACCAGTTTCAAGAAAGTGTTTGAAAATCCTTGTGGTAACACCACATAGTATAATAATAGGATAAGGCCAGCGTAATCTCTTGCGGCCACTCTTTCTCTCTCTCAACTCGGCCACTAATACTAGCACATTTGGGGTGCTCACAAAGCCAGAACCTAATGAAGTGATCATATTCAGGCGAAGCTTTAGCACAACATAGTATAAATAAACACTCCATGTTAAAGAAAGGCGGGCAGAGTAGAATTTTCTGAAGAGAAAGAAAAGGAAAAACAATTTATTATATTATTTAAAATGCATATAAAATTTGCCCTATTAAGCCCTTGCAACAGCGAGAGCAGCGCTAGGTATAGTAAACAATTAACAATAAATAAACGTACAACGGAGATATTTGGAAAACAACAACAAATCAAGCTCAAGAGAAAACAAGAAATAAGGAAATAATGAAAAAGCACCGTAACAAATAAAACATGACCGAAACTTCAATTTCAACTAAAATTTTTTTGGTAGGTTTGGAGATCAAATAGACCTTGATAACAATAAATATTCCCAACCTGAAGCACTTGAAAGATAAGCCAAAATCAGAGCATGAGAAAAAAATAAAAAAATAAAAACATTATAGTTGGGCAAAGCCCATCTTTAGATACCCTACATCAATTCGCCTAGTGCAGTTATTCGCTAGTTTTGGTAGTAATACGCCAAAAATTACGAATAATTCTCATGCAAAGACATACTTTTCATCAAAGACCACATGTTGGAATATTCCCAAATTATCGCGTGGCGTGATCCAAACTTAGCAAACTTAATTTGCTTACCAAAAATTTGATTATTTTTCAGGTCCCGCCGTAAAAAACCAGAAAATGGACTTTCACTCCATATAAAGGCTTGCATATCATAATAATCCCTGTATAGATTAGGGTCTAAAAAAAATACCTATGTCATCTAAATTCCTTGCTGTTAATTTTATCCTAACTCGTTACTATGAACTTATTTTGATCATGAAGCATTAAAAATTAAATTAATAATTCTTCTGAAGCGGTTACTATTCATGAGAAATCTTGTATGGAGCAAGGGCCAAGAAATACACCAAATGGTTTAAATTTGGCCCACTTAATTTTTATATCAAATTACTACAATGAACAAGTCTTCGTCATAGAACATTAACACTTAGAACTTTTTTGGACTTGGAAGGTTTCAATTTTCTGAACATCCTTATATGCGCTTGTAGCGAAAAAATAGGCCAACGTGATCCAAATTCGATAAGGTTGATTATTATGTCAATTTATTATTATAAGCTAATTTTCACCATGAGATGTTAAAAATTAGACCTTTTTACCATATAAAAATTCAATTTTCATAGGAACGGGGTCCAAAAAATTGCCCAAGCCGAACAAAATTTTAAAAATTGTAATATTATTGAGGAGTGGTTGAAAAATTGGCCCGATCTGAACCATTTTCAATAGCATTCGCATTGGGGTCACAGCACATCAGTGTGCCGAATTTCATTGAAAAATTGCGAATTGTAGTTTGAACACAATATTTACATGGGCAGACGTCAGACATCGTAGACAGACAGCCTTAGATTGATTGAAAAAATGATTTTGAATTGATCTATATAATAAAAGCCAGATCTATATGGGTTTTCAGCCTCTCTGGGTGTTGCATACGTCCGCATAAACTTAATATACCCTGTACCATAACTGGTGTAAGGTATAAAAAGACAAAAAAATATAAGCGACAAACCAAAGTTGCAGGATCGCAAGTAAATTTAGCCGACTTGGCAGCAAAAAGTAATCAATCTTTCGGTTGAAAAATTTCAAAATGTTTGCATATTTTTCAATTCGGAAAAATTAAAAAAAAAACAAAAACAAAAAATGATCATAAATACAAATCAAAATATATTCAGCAGCTTCTATTGGGCGTTAAAATGTGGACAATTGGGCGTTCGCTACTTTTCGCATAGTGTCAGAGTGGCGACTCTTGTTTGCCAGCATATATCGTATCTGTGTATTTAGTTTTAGTAAAATAACAGACAACGAAATTGTGTTTTCACGAAAACTTAAATCTATTAAGAGAGGAATAAAACGGAAAAAAAAGCTTATCTTGACACGATCAGTGGTACTGAGCGAGAATAGACGTCGCTATACGACGGTGATGGCGGGTCGGTGTTGGCTAAATGCGACTGCACTCGTATGTTTCGCATGTAATAATCATACCAAACGTAGGCTTATGATTATTTTGTCTTATTTGTGGCATTTGCCGCAAGCATAAAAGTTTACATACATTCGTATTCGAGTGAACGCTTATTGCGAAGCACAAATTATCTGTAAATACGTAAAAGTGTGTTTATGTTTGTTAGCTTCTCTGATGGGCGTTTAATGTACCTGTTTGCCTTGTGGTTCAATGAATGTTTACATAGATATGTGGATATTACAACAACCTTATACACAACCACGTGCAATATTTACATAAACAAAACTAAACTTTTTAATAATATTGTAGCCGTTATGTTTCGGTTTTGTAGGTAGTATGAAGCTATGCCTACACTATGCCAAGATATGAATGCATATGAGGTTAAGAATGCTTTGATTTGGAACGGGAAAGCTTATAGAGCGTCATTTTTTTATATTCATTTGCGAATCGAAGCAATTAAAGCGTTACTTAAAGGCTTGCATTCTCAAATCGATCAAGAAAGAAAAATCGAATACAAATTTTAAAGGGCCGCAAATATAATCAAGTTACTTGTAGTGTTTTCCTCCATAAATCTACTTTCTCTCAGTCTGATCCGTAAAATTCAATTAGCCTCTTAGATCACCGCCCTCAAATTGTTAGATTCTCTTTTATAGTCTATGATATAAGCCTTTAAAGCTATATGGTCTATCAAAAGGTATTTTTTGAGTTATTGATATCATTTACAGAACACAAGTATACTGCTGAACGTTATTTATTTAAATTATAGTTTACGACGAGCCATTTGCTACTATGTCCTCCTCATCATAGTTCAGGGCTGGATTGCCTTTAAAGGATTGGGTCGGAGATAGCTGACAAAAAATTAAATTTAGGGTATCTCAAATAGACTTCGACTTGTAATTCTCAACGAGGACCTTCAGTGGATAGAAGTGGATCAAGCTGCTTAAAAAAGATATAATTAACGCAAAATAAATTAAAAAGGAAAAGTCAGCAATGCATTAAGGTCACTATAAAAGCTTCTCAAGGAAGGCTTGCAATTGCGAGAATAATCAATCGTCCGTTTAGCTGAAAAAAATGAGAAAATGGCAGGGTTTGTTAGCACACTAGAAACGGATAGACTACTTAAATTGACGAGACTAACTAGAGAAGTGGTTACTGACAGTTACTTTACTTTAAGATACCCAGTTCCCTTAGACTACATGCATATTCTTAGCAAAATCTTCCACAAGTTGCCGGTAACAACGCTAAGGTTTGACGAGAAATTATTGGAGGAGAAAGCCAGAAACGTTACGGGCTGTGTTCATATTTACGATATAAAGAAAGCAAAGCAAAGCAAAGCTTGCTGTAATAGTACAATTCTCTATAATGTCGTTTCTTAAAATTTTTTTGTTGTGGTTTCTAAGAATGAAATTATTTTTATGTATTTATCGTTACAGAGATACCTTGTATCGCATGTCCTTCGATTTAGAAGTGCTCGAACGTGCTGTTTGGGAGGCTGAGCCATCGCAAATATCTATGTGCCAGGCAAAAGGCCAATCAGAGCATTTATGTCGTAATTATATTCGCGTTTTACAAACATACAGTGAGAATAAATTGTATGCGTGTGGGACGAATGCTTTCAATCCCAATTGCACTTTATTGCAGGTAAATAAAAATGAAATGAACAGCTGTGTGCAAAGATTCCTTTTAACATTACAATCCACACATTTTGTAGCTAGATAGTGTAATAATTGGATTGCTTTTTTAATTTAGATGGAAAATTTGCAAATCACTGGCTACGAGAGCGGCGTGGGAAAATGTCCATTTAATCCGCAATCGAACATAACCAGTTTAATGACACAAAATGGCAAAATATTTGTGGGGACAGCGACCGACTTCTCAGGTAGTGATGCTGCCATCCTCAGATCCGCAGTGCAGCAATACAACGTATAGTTCTAGCTTAAGGAATCGCATAAAATCTGACGTTTTAAAAAAATTTTATTTCATTTTTTTTTAAATAGAATTCTATAATACGAACGAAACAATCTAATAACAATTGGCTGAATAATCCTCAATTTGTTGGGAGCTTCGAGGCCGGAGAGTTTGTTTATTTTCTTTTTCGCGAGACAGCTGTCGAGTATATGAACTGCGGCAAGGTGAGTGAGAGAGGCCATATTCACCACCCAATACTTTGTTCATCTTTTCCTGTCACGAATCTTAGGTGATTTATTCTCGAATTGCTCGGGTTTGTAAAAATGATGCTGGCGGTGAACACATTTTGCGCGATAACTGGACATCGTTTCTGAAGGCTCGCTTGAATTGTTCCTTGCCGGGTGAATACCCTTTTTACTTTAATGAGATTCAGGATATGATCTATTCGCAAGACGACAATATTTTGTACGCGACGTTTACGACACCAGAGTAAGTTCCTTCTTTGTTTTGTAGCGAACCTAGTAACTAGAACGAAGTTTTGCCTGCAGTAATAGCATTCATGGCTCGGCCGTTTGCGCATACAATGTAACAGCCATCAATGATGCCTTTGCAGGCCTCTTCAAGTATCAAGAAAATATTGAGTCACCCTGGAAAACGGTTCGCAGCCACGATAACACTCAATTTCGTTGCGAAGGCCGACTGACGCAAAAGCATTTATTAGAATCATCAAAATATCAACTTGTCGATCGCGCCGTCCAGCCGATAACCAACAAACCATTATATTACTCGAAAATGGAAAGATTCTCACACATTGCAGTAGATACGGTTCATACAAAAACCGAGAAAGTCAATATCTTATATTTAGTCACCGATCCGAATGTCATTAAGAAATTATCAATCAAAGTTGATTCGGCACGAGGTAGTGAGGCACAAGCTTGCTTAGTGGAGGTTTGGAATACGGAAAATCATAAGATATTAAATATGGAGTATTTGAAAGTCACAGACTCTTTATATGTGGGAGCAGAAGAGAGCTTGATTAGGATACCCGCACAGCATTGCAGCAGACATGTATCACAGATATCATGCTTGAATGCCATGGATCCATACTGCGGTTGGAATGTGTTATTGGAACGTTGCACACCGCAAGAGTTGTCGATAGATTTAACTAAATACTGGATTCAGCCAGATCTCTTAAAATGCCCAGTGCTAACAGCTCCTATTGACGGAGCTTGGTCTACCTGGTCTGACTGGTATGAATGCAAAAAACATGGAGAGGACGACGGGGAATGCAGGTGTCGTACAAGGCAATGCAATAATCCCAAACCACAAAACGGAGGCGTCGATTGCGAAGGCATAACTACGGAGGTTACAAATTGTACTGTGCATGGTGGCTGGACAGAATGGTCAGCTTGGTCGGCTTGCTCGCACACCTGTGGTATAGCAGTAAAAACTAGAAGACGTTCATGTGGCAACCCTAAACCTGCGTTTGGCGGACGAACTTGCGTGGGTCCCGAAAGGGCAGAAATGTATTGCAGCCATTTGCCACCGTGCCCCGCCCCGAAACCCGTTGCTGTTGATGGCGGCTGGGGTCCGTGGGGTGAATGGAGTGAATGCAGTGCTTTGTGTGGCGGAGGTTTTCGTATACGCAGACGTGAATGCAACGACCCCCGGCCACAAAACGGCGGCATGGAATGTCCCGGATGTAATATAGATTACGAAGATTGCAATATGCATTCTTGCCCGGAAATTAGAAAGCTGAGCAGTTGGACACCTTGGTTAGTTCATTACAACAAAAGTCAAGATCTTGAAGCTACTGATACAATTTACACGGAAAAGCGTTTTCGTTTTGTTTGCCGTGCCATTAGTCCAGATCCCAGCTCAATACATATTAGCTTAGCTAAAACCGAAAATCGAATATGTCGGGAAGGTGTATGTCAACGACATAATGATATAAACGCTCTGGAGGAAATCGAACATGCCGAATGGGGCGCATGCAACGTTTCATGTGGCGGTGGTGTACAATATCGTCACTTTGGCGAAAATAAACATCGTGGACGTCATGTGCAAAGTCGAGCCTGCAATATGCATCCTTGTCCGGAATTAAGCAGCTTCAATGAAGTTATTTCGATACATGAATGGAGCTGCTGGAGCGATTGGTCGTCATGTTCCGTCACTTGTGGGGTAGGTTTACGCAGACGTACGCGCAAATGCTTAGGTGGCCACGACAAACTTTGTCATGGACGTTCACTGGAGGAAGAGAAATGTGAAAAGAAACCTTGTGAAGGTGCGTCTCTTCTTGACGCATGTAGTCTTTGCATTTTAAAATATATTTTTGAAATTGATTTTAGACTTTATAGGCTGGAGTATTTGGTCAGAATGGTCGGATTGTACTAGTGATGGTATACGTTTCCGTCACCGTAAATGTTTGATTGATAATCCCAATGTCAACGAATGCCGTGGTGAGGAATTTGAGAAAACAGCCTGTGTGCCAGGATTATGTGAAGGTGTGTGTACACGTTATGCAATAAGATTGAAGTTAGTTATATCTAATTTATATGATATGAACAGGTACACAAGTGGCCTCGACCGCTACATTGGGATCAGTAATCGCTGTAGTTATATTATTATATGCGTTGACAATTTTCATGACCTTCTGGTTGACACGGAGACACTTTATGCCGCCTGTAGCATTGCTTAAAAATAACACGCCCTCCCCGGTTAACTACGACAGTTACTCAAATCAGTATTCAAGTCTGCCGACAAAAGATGTAAAAAACATTTTTATAAACTTTCAAAAATTTGAACATAACCTATTAATCTTAATTTATTTTTCTATTCCCGTTAAAGATCTATGATGTACGGCCGAAAGTGAAACGACAATCTAGTTTTAATATGTGCTCTTCACCTACATCGAAAAATTTTAATGCCACCACATTAAATCGCAACAATATAAGCCATAACCATACACCAAAAGTTTTGGCTAAAACATATAACGACTGCGAGTCGGGAACACTGAAACGGAATTCGCATGCTTTAAATAATTATCGTTCAAATTTGGATGACGAGAAATTTTAGTGTTAGGTGAACAAAGGTGAACAAATTCAATTGATCTTATAAGCTTATAAACAAGTCGGGATATTTTGAGGTACTTGAAAACTGCTTTTAAACCCAGAATCAGTTCAAAATACTTAAACAAGCAATAAGAGGTTTTCGAAGAATATAAGCTAAACATTTTAAGAGAGAGAGAGAGAGAGAGAGAGAGAGAGAGAGAGAAAGAGAGGAAAAAGTCTATAATCTTCTTAAGTCTAGCCAGATTGAGAAAATAGAAATCACGACTAAAATCAATACACGAGTGCAGCTCATTTGAGCTTAGTGTGCGAAGCCTGAAATACAGATACGACTGGAATACAGATATACGATTAAACGCAGAACAATATTTCATTCGTCATGCCCAATATCATAATTGGTCGTAACAGCAGTGTGAGACAGTGAAATATAATACAAGCGGTATATAACACGGAAATGCTTGAAAATTCATTCTTTTTTTGCGAGAAATTTTGAGAAACTTTTCTTAAATAGTTTTGCTTAAGCTACTTTTAACCTTATATATAATACATAGCAATTTCTATATGCATTTATGTATTAGAAAAAAAAAAAAAGGTATTTTATTTTACTGTGCCATTAATTTTTTAAGCCAACGAAAATGTGTGCGGCTTCTATAGCCCTGATCCTAAAATTCTAAATAAATTGCTTAAGATAATTATTATTATTATTATTTTTTTTTTTTTGTTTTTTAAAGCGGAATGCGATTTTAAGTAACTGACTCATATTGAGTTTACTTAAGTAGATTAGTGTAAAACTATCTTATATATATTAAGTACTTTTAAAGATGTATATTAAACAATAATAGTTTTAGAAAAACGTTCGACTATAATATGTAAAAAGTAAAAAAGAAAATCAATTATCAATGAGAAAGGAAGACAAATTTCAAGACTGAAAGTAATTGAAAATGAATTTTATCGACGCCATTAAAATCATAAAATGATAAAATCTAACAACGAACTCCGCCTAAAAAGGGCTTATAAGTGCATAAATATGATCAATTATATCAAAAATTGTTTTACTATCTGTGGTGTTTGATAAAACTGCGAAAGTCTTTCAATAGCAACGATTATCAATAAATTATTGTTTTTTCAATAAAATATTTAACAATTTCATATTCAATTACTTCACTCAATTGTTGTTTTATAATGAAATAAATATGGAACTGAATCGCCTGCAAAATGCATAATAAAGTTGTCATCATGGCTTTTGCGCCAAACTTATATAAAAGCTTGTAAAGGCGCGAAACGAGATTGAAAAGTCGCGAAAGTCATTGTAACAGATTAGAAAAGCCATGGTTTAAATATACTTTTTTCTTTCTTGCATTTTTGGATAGAAGAAAAGGCATTTGAAGATTAATATTCACACAAGTATATCTAAATAGCGATCAAAAAAAAAAAAAAAAAAAAACAGTTTCTAAAAAGTGAACGAAAAGCATTGAAAAATGGGAGCAATCTAGGCATCTTTAGTTTAAGTCCGGCTTGTAGTGTAATCCAAAAAAAAAAAAAAAAAATAAATAAAAGGAATCATTTGATCTACAGGCCTGTCTGTAGGACAGTAGCTAGAACGTTCTTAAAAATTTGCAAGCTTTATTGTGAAAACACGATAATCGGGCAAGCTTTACAATCAACTACTCCACATTATTTTATTGGGAAGCTTTATATAGAAGAAGACCTAAAACTACACGCTCTATATTTAGCAAAATTAATCGAATTGTTGGCGTGTCTGCGGAGAGATCGACAACATAATATGAACACGTGACATGTATACAATATTTATCTGTTAATAGATTACTGGGCCATCATTTGTTCGTAGAATAGCTGCAATTCTTCGCAGAGTAGATGCGTAAAGTGTCTGAACAGTTTCCAACCAAGTATTGTCCCAAGCTTTCGCCACAATTGCTTCTACGATATTGGAGAGTGAAATTTATTTCGCACTGCCTGCTCCAAAGTGTCTGTCTGCTGGTTGGGGACGATGATTGTTCCTCAAACCGACACTGAAAATTTTTGTCTCGAAGAGGAGGCGAACAATTTCAATTCCTTCTTACTTTTGTCTATATACTTCCGATCCCGAAAAAATACATTTTCGGAAAACCTAGAACGCAGATGTTCATCAGGACTATCAAAATGATCGGTTCAAAGTGACCTCGATCGATTTACATCGATTGAACAACAAGCTAATGAATATAGCAACAGCAGTAATCAACGCGCTTCCCAAGGTCATATATTCAAAACATTGCTTGAAAAAGACCAAAAAATCTTGAAATCACGTAAGGAATTTTTTAGTCATCCTTTAGCCTCTGTTCTTTATTATCGCGACTATAGAAACAGAATCCATAAATTGTTACAAATATGGTAAAAAATTGCAATTGAAATAATGTTTTTTCCCGTTATGTTAAAATAAATATTATTATCAGAATAGGAAAGCAGCAAAGCATTGATTCTTATTAGTTAATTAATTTATTGTTCTCTTGTAAGAGATATAACTACCATCGAGACAATTAATGCTTGATTTCGACGGGGAAAGTGGTTTCAGATGCGACTTACTTTTTCCACGTAATGGAAAAATCAGATTCAGAATCAACCCAAATGTTAAATTTCAAGCTTTTTCTCTTGATGAAGTCCAGAAATTTGTGATTCGCCGTTAGCGGGAAAAGAAATGATCAAAGGAAGGGAGATAGAGAGGTGTTGGTTGCAGTCTGGTGTGTGTATGACCAATCGGTAAGTGTTATGCCTTCATCCAGTGAGCACTCAACTGTAGCTGCGATCAAAGTAAACTCTGTCACGCTTTAAATTTGAATCCAAAAGCAGAAATTTTTGAAAGGCGGTTTACTTTTTATAAACTTTATCATATAAGGAGCCGAAGGAAAGTTTTTGTTAAGTTCAACGAACTTATGATAAAATTTTTTCATTTCATACGCTCAATGACATTTTTTTCGAAGAACACGACTCAACCACGAAATGATTATAAATTTTCCAATGGCGAGAAAATTTACCTAATATTCTTGTTCTTTTTCTCTAGCTTTCCCTCCATCACGCTGTAGTTCAAGTCAGGATAATCTCAATATTTTCAAAGTTTATTCACCTTCGGTTGCAATGAAACACACACACACCCACACACACAAACACACCCACACACACAAAACACGTTTCACCTCTTTAAAAGAGGTGTTGCCTGTCAATGTGAACGTACTCAGGGTATGTATATGATACATTCACAGGCCTATGTACATACATACACACTTTTAAAATATCTAATTTAGTGCCGCCGCGTAAGCGGGACTTTTATTACAGATTTAACACATGGTTTCAGTTACACACACTGCAACCAAGAAGAGCTACAAGAGTGGTATTGTTTGTGTTTACTTTCGTTCGCGGTACATGCTTCGCTTCGCGTCTGCGCCCGTCCGCACGTTTAGAAAATTGATACAATTACACGGAATAAATTCCCCAACAATTTTTAAGTCAAAATATGCAACCAAACACATAGCTGAGGACATATTGTTGCCGCGAGATGGAAAATAGATTTCTTTTTATTAGCGAACAAATCCGTTTTATTCTATTTTTAACTTTTTTATTAGTAAATAATAAATTAAGTTTCTTGTGTTATTTTAAAGTATCATAGTTGTGCTTTATCAGTTGTTAGGCGAGATTTGTTGCATTATTTAGGCAATGCTTGATACCCATAAAAAATAATTTATTCGGCTTCTCTTCCTTACTTTCAAATGCAAAATGTCTTTCTCAACTTTTTGCCAGTCATGCTTTGCGGGATACAAAAATACCGATATTTCTAATCGACACGTAATACGCGTAGGATTCCTAAAAGATAGCTCGTAGACACGATTGTTCCATTCGGCTTGTAAAAGAAAAGTATATCAAATATGTTACGAAATTTCTCAGTCAATGAGGAACCAAAAGTATTTAAGCAACTAGGGAAAGAAAAAACGGAAATAATCAAGTATCCATCTGCTATCTAATCAAAAAAAAAACTGACTTATCGTTCGAACCCCAGCCGAGCTCAAGAAAAGCTGTTTTCCTTTTTGCACCTAACGATTACAATATACGAACAACATTTCATTTATATAAGCATTTTGAATGAATTTGATAAGTCAGTATTCTATGCATTGCGCGAGAAAATTAATATTCGATTTTTTTTTTTTTTTTGGGAATTATATCTATTTAACGGAAGGAAATTTGAAATTTTAGGTGGTTAAGAATGGTTATGAACAACACATTGATTCTATGAGCACGTAGAAAACAATGAAACCTTTTGGACATCGCTCCTCAAGTCGGTTATACTCACTGTATTAATAATGCAGTGCAGTGTTACACGCATTCAAATACGCTTTGCTTCCGAAACGATTTGATGCCAACGAAACCTTACCACAAGTTCCGTAGAACTGAAAGGCTGTTTATACTCGATCATGATCCTAGTCCTCCAGCTTTAGAATTTTTCCGAATCATCTTCTTTGGTTCGGAGCATCATACTGTGTCTACCGTTAGGGATTGATCGCCGTCCACCTGGTGTATAATTCGGTAGATGCATCACATTGTTTGACTTGTCTCCTTACAGAAACTGCTCGGATCGGTATTAGTGATATCCTGCGCGTGTTAGAACACGTGCAGAAGCCAATGACGAAATGTAGGTAGCGTCTCCGTAATTCCGCTAGTTTAAGTGCTACATCGGGAGATTTTTGAAATCTTCTTCGTTGGACGTTATTCTGTGTTCTGCTTGAAATGAGTATTTGATTTTTTCCGTGACTTTAACGATATCAGCTTAGTTTCCTAGGACCTACCATGGTCTCTTGGGCTCCTCTACATAACATGGACAGTCAGTTCTTTCATTCCTTCCAATACCCAGGCCAGGTAAACATTCTACATGCATGTCGCTATACTTGCCCAGCTCATTCAAGGCTTGTGAGCTTTCAAGAGTGCTTGGCTTTCAGCATATGGAACATAATATATATTATACTATACTCGAGTATGCCTCTTTTGTGTGCTCTCCATCATATAGTTGCTATGTAGATTCAATTGAATCTGTTCAAGAGCAATTCTTCCTGTTTGCCTTTAGGAATTTGGGTTGGGATCCGATTGCCTCTCTTCCCCCCTATGAAAATAGGTTGCTTCTGTTGTCCTTACCATCTCTCGAGAAACGTAGATTTGTTCTTGGCGTTTCCTTCGTAATCAAAGTAATAAATGGTGCTATTGACTCGCCTGCATTACTTGGTGAAATAAGCTTTAATGTCCCTAACCGCTTCTCTAGGCACTTTATCTTAGTTAAGCTTAGTCAATGTAAATATAATTATGAGCTGTTTAACCCGCTCAGAGTTGTTTGCAAGAACTTAAATGATGTCTATCACTTATTCTCATTATCGGACTCTTTAAAGTCCATTAAAGCAACATTGCTTGATGCGCGTAATTTACCTATGTCTTACTCTTAACTAGCTCTTAACCTTAAAAAGTCACGATGTGTCGAAAATTAATTGTGGTTAACTATTATCGGTTGCCATGCTTATGCATGTTTGCGATGTCTTAGCGGTTCATTTGCAATTGGGTCCTTTACCGGTTGTGGGTGTGCCTCTATGCTAGTTGTGTACATGTTTTTATTCTTTTTTTTTCCTTCTTATTTGCTTTATTATACTTATACTAAGTTTTAATATTAATTAATTTATGATTTACTTTAAGAGTCAATTGAACTCGACTGTCAATTTGTTTTAGTTGAGTTTCTTGTATAAGTAGAATAAATAAATAAATAAATAAATAAATGAATAATTCTTATTGTAGTTGTATCCACACCTCGTAAGGTTAGGAACACGTGAAGATAATACACCAAAACCTACATTTTTTGTAGGCTTGTATACTAGAGAGAAATGAAAACTTTGCGCTTTTTCTAAATTATGCTCAATTGCGAATGTAAGGTACGACCGCTCAAACAATTGCAAAGATTATATAATTTACAAAAAACATACGTACGAAAAAATACCAAGTATTATAATAAAATATTGTAATAAAAAAACAAAAACTAACTATCCGTGTGTAGGTGTGTATGGATATTGAATGAGCACTATAAAAAAATGTCAAGGACCACTCCAGATTTTCAGTGTATCTTAGAATCTGTTAAAACCTGTGAAAAGTCCTTGCTAACATTCCACAGTTGCATATGCAAATAAGTCGTAGGTTGTTTGTTTTCAAAAGATCGATACGTTAAAGTTAATGGCTTTTGCATTTAGAACTTTGACGCTATCCAAAATTTAATAAATAATTTTTCAATTCAATACTTTGTTCAAATTAAGCAACTCACCGAATAAAAGCGA